TACTTTTAAGTGGAAACTACCGAGCCTGATCAACAGGTTTCTCTTCGAAGACTTTACTAACTATTAGTTTGAGCAATCGAGTTTGGGTATGTCCAGTGCTTTGTATCGCTTCAAGCAAACGGTTCATTTTATGGCCACTGTCTGTTCCACTTTTCGGGATTGCTCATCAAGTCAGCTTCGAAGAAACAACGTCGTCGGAAGGTCAGAGCCTTCACCATCGTCTCCATCGCAGTCCTTCACTATTCTTTCAATGAAAACGCCTGCAGTTTGGTTGAGTACTTCTGTATTTTGAGGCTGGCCACCGAGACACACTTCTTTTTCTTGGTGCGTTGCACTTGTAGCTTCAGGGGTCACGGCGACGATAGGATTTCGCGCATGTGATACCTCTTGTCCAACACTTTGAACTAGCAGATCGATCGTTGATTTTCCCATAGTTGTTTTCTTTTTTACTGATCGTGTCTCGATGGTCATGAACTTCGTAGTCTTAGCACTGGGTTCCATTGGGCGTGCCAAAATGTTGACTCTAAAAACTACCAAGCCTACATGGCGCGCAGGTCGAATAATTAGTAAGCTAACTACGTCATTCGATTGTATGCAAGGCACGCCAACTCGTTGATTGAGCTCAGCCGAGGAGAAAAAATTGATATTACGTTGGGTGCGCGGCTGACTTCTCGATCTTGCGATTGCTGCCGAGGAAGGAACACACATCGGCCTTCAGGTTCTAGAGCTTGAAGACAAAACTACTAGTTCTGTGAAGTTCACAAATCGTCGGCGCCGGATTCGGTCACTATGATTATATTCATAAGAGTATAAGCACGCCGAATCGACACCAAAGTATAAGGACACAAGTATTCAAAATGAATATATGTCTTGATTGTGAAAGTGGTTCGGCAGTCAGAATACCGTACTCTAAATCCTACTTACGAATAACCAATCATAAATGACTCGACATTCAATGTGCCGAGTATAATAACTTGTAACCCCCCGCTTCGCCGAGAAAGCTAACGAGATGACCTCTGCCGATAATTTTGACTTATGGGTTTACCGCAAATTTTGATATTTTGTGTAATTCGGATTTATAAGCTTTAATCTTTGAATTGAAGTATTGTTCATGGTGGATTAAGCTTATTGGAAGCTTAACTAGACAAGTTCATCATTGAAGCAAATGGGGGGTTGGGTTCGCATGACAGAGATCGGCGAGAGCTGTTTCTGATTTGATGACTGGTTAAGGGGTTGCAGCTCATGTACGAAGGAGAATGCAAGATTTGGTGACTGGGACTCCTATCTAAGGTAGTCCAATCCAATGAGATTTAAAGAAGCCAAACAAACATGCCCTTAATGGTTAAATTGTGTTCCACGGTTATTAGTCATAGTGGTAAAATCTTGTTCCTTTTCATTTTAGCATCATTTTTGTGCTTAAATTACAATTTTTAATGGAGTTTTAAGTCGAAATCGGAATCGGGATGAATCCCTGCCAAATATTATGGTGTTCTCCCTCGATGGTTCCGATTACCCATGTTTTAAATCGTGGCTGACGTCAGCCTTGCATCACTCAGGCCTCAGGCTCTCGGGTGGTTGATTCCCTCCTAGCCTGTCCACCAGGCCTCCCCCGAGCCCTATCGCCCGCATAGGCTGGAGCTGCTAGTTGGGGCAATTGGGTTGGAGCAACAGCTAGTTCACCGGGCTATTGAATACCGTGGAGCTGCTCTAATTATCAGATACGACGAATTTAAAATACTATCGTTCCACCTTAGAATATTTAACGAATTAGACTATATCTTGTTAAAGTGGAGCGAAAATTAAATTTCAAGTGCAAAGTGACGTATGTTAATTTTATAAGAAAAAATTAAATTAAATTGAATTCTAGGATTAGTAGAATTATAAATATAAGGAAAGAGATCATCTCCGAATCCCTTCCACCAAATCCTACCAATCAACAAATCCGAGCTCTTGAAATTTAATCCAATGGCTAAAGTTATTATAACTTTAAAGGGGCCCCCTGTTTTTAGCCGTTGGATCAAATTTCAAGGGTTCGGATTTGTTGATTGGTAGGATTTGGTGGAAGGGACCAGATCCCTTTCCTAAATATAACTGTAAATATAAAAGGCCATTTGGCAAGGGGCTAGTAATAATTAAGAAATCATACTTTTTTTGTTCATAATATAAAAAAAGGGAAAATTAGAATGCACTGCATCTTTTCTATAGTTGTTAGATTAAACATTCATCTATTTTAAAGATTTGATTAAGATGCTTTGATCAATTGCCACCTCAATAATTTTCTATTTATTTAATTTCCATGTCATTAATTTAATGCATTTATATAGAGGAATAAGGTAGCTTAGCAACTAATTGCCTATAATATAGGAATTTAATTTCGTCAATCCCCTTCTACGCATTAAATGGCATTTTTTAATAAAATAAAATAAAATTAATTAACTAATTCCTCATTTCCTTATTATCAGTATTTAAAAAAATCTCTTTCTATTAAAAATGTCTCAATAAAAAGTCTTCAATACATATTTTTTTTCATGTATAGATATATAAAAAATATACTTAAAACTTATGGTACATTTGAGAACAAAATTATCAACTTTTGGTACGTTTAGATTTCAAATGTACCATAAAACCAAATGTAGCCATTATTATGCAACCCTTTTGGTACGTTTAGATTTCAAATATATAGAGAAACCATATGTACCAAAAGTTCAAATGTACCATAAATCCAAATGTACCCATTGTCAGGTAATCCTTTTGGTATGTTTAGATTCCAAATATACCAAAAAACCGAATGAACAAAAAATCCCAAATGTACCACAAAACCAAATGTCTCTATCAGATAACCCTTTTGGTACATTTACATTCCAAATGTACTGAGAAATACAAAAAATGAAATCCACTATAAAACTTGTTTGTACCATACTTGACCAATCCCGAAACTACCAAGTATCGGTCAACGTTATACCGTCAAGGACCCAGAAGAGTTTCCCACCAACCAGGAGGCCAATCACAGCGCAACACGTGTCAACACCAAAATGCCAATCACATGGCGACACGTGTCAACATCAAAGGCCAATCACAGCATAACATGTGTCAATGCCAGAACAAAGCTAAAAACTCTCTTCTATAAAAAGAGATCATTCTCCCACAATAATCCCTAATGTCATTTGTACTAAATCATTCACTAGTACTCACTAAAGGAGAGCTTGAACCTATGTACTTGTGTAAACCCTTCACAATTAATGAGAATTCCTCTACTCCGTGGATGTAGTCAATCTAGGTGAACCACATACATCTTGTGTTTGCTTCTCTGTCTCTATCCATTTACATAATTATCCACACTAGTGACTGGAGCAATCTAGCGAAGGTCACAAACTTAACACTTTCTGTTGTACCAAAGTCCTCACTGATTTTATGCATCAACAAAACTAAATGTGTCCATATTATAGGTGTCACATCCCGACCCGAGTCCCCACCACATCCCTGGCTCGACTCCACTGTAACACGATATTGTCCGTTTTAGGCCCCGACCACGCCTCACGATTTTGTTTCTGGGAACTCACGCGAGCAGAATTTCCCAGTGGGTCACCCATCCTAGGAATGCTCTGGCTCCTTTCTCCTTTAACTTCAGAGTTCCTACATAACCCGAAGCCATTGAACTCCCAAAATGCCTCGTGCTAGGTAGAGATGAGAATATACATATAAGGCTTACAGGATCCACTCACATGGGCGATGTGGGATGTCACAATCCATCGCCTTTAGGGGCCCGACGTTCTCGTCGGCACACTTCCGACTAGGGATTGGCTATGATACCAAATTGTCACATCCCGGCCTGGGCCCCTACCACATCCCGGGCTCGACTCCACATAGCACGATATTGTTCGCTTTGGGCCCCGACCACGCCTTCACGGTTTTGTTTCTGGGAATTCACTCGAGCAAAACTTCACAGTGGGTCACCCATCCTAGGAATGCTCTGGCCCATTTCTCGCTTAACTTCGGAGTTCCTACATAACCCAAAGCCAGTAAACTCCCAAAAAGCCTCGTGTTGGGTAGAGATGGGAATATACATATAAGGCTTATAGGATCCACTCCCCTAGACGATGTGGGATGTCACAATAGGTAACTAAACGTAGCTATATAATCAAACAAATCTTTATTATGTGTTGGATCTTTTAAATAATAAAATCTGACGATTTTTTTTATTATAAATATTCTACTATATTCACACAAAAAAGTAAAAATTATAACAAACAATAAAAAAATGCATAGAGATGGATAATAAATGCATAAATATAGGGATAATAGGAAAAGAAAAAACAAGAAAACGAAATGCCCAAGAGAAGTCGTGAAAAACTAAAATTCTAAACAAAATTGAACTTATGTGAAATACTGAAATTAATAACCAAAATTTTAGGAAAATGTTTGATCAAATTTTCAAAAGGAGTGTACGTTTAGTCTAAAAAATTAAAAAACGAGGTGCCTATATTAAAACGTCCCATAAAAAAAGGATGATACTTAGATACCCACTAGTGAATTCTCATCTTTTGAATTCACCCAGGATATTGTAACATATTTTTTATTTTTAAAAATAATTGACATGTTAATAATTTTTCTTGGGCTTTAAATACAACAAACATGTCACTTAATATTACCGTCTGATGGTATTCTTTTTAATTTGTAAGTAAGATTTCTTAGGTTCAAATCTCGTAGATGGCGAATTTGATACCAATTAGGTTGCTCATTGTGCGGCTTAGCCGAACTTCACATCATCTTAGTGTAAAAATATATTATTGTACAAAAAAAAAAAAAAAAGAGAAACATATGGCATGGTTTGAATGGTGCAAATCAGTGAGTATATAGGTATAGAATACATGAGAGGTACGCAACTAACAGCACAACTAGTACAAAGCTAGAAGACAATCGCCTCGACAACCAAACTAGAACCCGGTAGTCGACAAACCAACTTAATTTCGAGACAGAGACAACGATGCCAATAGGAAGGCTTACCACTCAACTTCCTCCCGATACTCCGACGAGCATCCGAACGATGACTCCATCTCTACCAGGTCCAAAGAACCAAAACTCACATGTATAATCATCGGCTTCTCCTCCAGATTAGTAAGAAACGAACCCACCAACCCCAATTCAAACTCCAATCGACATGCGTGTTTCGGAATTCCATGCATGCATCTGAAAAGATTAATACCCAATTGGCTATGAACCTTTCAATTCCGGAAGAACTCAATAACAGGCATCAGATCAGAGCTAATAAAAACGTCAAGAAGTGAGAATCGATTTTGCCCAACAAAAGACCGGAAGTAACCCCTAGAACAGTCTAGGAATTGTAATTAGGTCTACTCTATCATGGGAAAATTATTTGGTGGCTAGAACATCAAAACTATGTTACTGCCTAAATTATATGACGAGACATAATAGTAATGAAAAAGAGAAAACAAGGAATGCAGCCGGAGCCAAGGACATAATTTTGAAAGGAGATAAAAAGAGAATGACTGTAAGTCCAAATGGCATGCATTGAATGGAAGGGAAGTTGAGAAAGACAAATAAAAAACATAAAAAAAACCAGCATTCTCCTATAAATAGTTATACTATTAACTGAAGATTTTTGAATGAAACTTGTTGATTTTCAATTTTTGATCGAAGTCCCTGAAATTAATGTGATTATTTATTTCTATTTATGTTACTATATTTTTTAAATTAAAAATTGAAATTTATAGTTATTTATGTTAATGAGATTTTAATAAAAACCCATAATTTGTGGGATTAAAAATATTAAAATATAAATTATACTATTGTGTGTGTGTGTGTGTGTTTGTATAAATATAGGTACATTCATCAAAATTGACAAAAAAATTATTGTACCAAAACATGGGTACATTCTTCAAAACTACACACAAAAAAAAAAAAAGAGATATTAGACTTAATAACATTAGTAAATTTATTCGATAAAACTTGACATGGATACATTCTCAAATCAAAGAAAAAGAACATACCCATATAAGTTTAAAAATCGATTAGAAAAAAATTGAATAGATTTTATATTAAAAAAAGGGTACATTTTACATATAACAAATTGGTATATATAAGAATGAGTACATTTTAAGATTAAAAATTTGAAAAATTACATGAATGGGTAAATATAAGATTAAAAAATTGAAAATATTTTTTAAAAAGCTAATGGATACAAACTTATTCTAATTTTTTATTTATTTTGGAAATGTTTTGGATTAAAAATTAGTTAGGAGTTTAATAAAGGTGTGAGCATTAAAATCCTAAATCAATTATTAATTTTTATTTAAAAAAATTATGTAACTGACATGTAAATTCATTATTACATTAATGCTAGGGACTTGGATCAAAATCTGAAAACTAATAAGGTTTCAGTCAATGAACATTAGTAACTAGGAACCGGATACTAATTTTTCTTAATTTATATATGCATCATGCATGAAATCTAGTGGTCAAGATTTTTGTGTACATGTGTGTATAAAATACCATTTAAGTAACACAATCTTCTTTACTTAGCATTTTCGTGTAAAATAACAGGGGACATTTCATTACCCAAAATGTTAACAAACCTGTAGCGGATTTGTTTATTTAATTCTTGTGCGTGGGAAGGAACAAAAGTAGAAATAAAGAATAAAAATTCTCACCAGTTAGATGATTTATATCAATTACATAATTAATCAAGCATATATAGGCACATATTTAAAGATAATAATAAAAGATAGGATTATGCAAGATTAGTTCTCAGTAAAGATTACATACAAGGCATTCATCCTCGATCCCAAAGAAGAGAGGACCAACAGCTTAGAGAAACTTTCCTCTTATTTTATTACCAATCAGAAAAAAAAAAAAGTACAAACGGGGAGACATGAACCAAACCCCGCAAAGAGTACGCATGCAAGCATTGAACCCATTTATTCTTTTATCTCTCTCTAAGAGATGAGATTGATTATGGTTGGCATCAACCCTAAATCCTATATGTATAGGTTTAGGTTTTCAAAAGAGTTGGGATACTTTGCTTATTCTTGAAAAAATTATGGGGATCAATCATGGTTTTCACACGTACCAATTTATCAAAGTTAGCTTTGAAATACTTGGTTCCATAAAGTCTACCGATTTCATAGTTGGTCTGATTATCCTGATTGGCACCAATGTCGAGATCCTTGTAGTTTTGGAAGGCCCTTCTTGGATTGTTTGAGACATATGGAGTCATCATCTCAAACAATTTTCTTGTCAGCCGAACGTACCTGTTTGTGGCCTCGATTCCCTCTTTAGTCCAGGACGTATAATACATAACATGAAATAGGATTCCAGATCTGTGAGGGTATGGAGTTGCTGACTCAGATATCTCATCCATTCGTCCACCGTAAGGGTTTGTATCCAGAAAGATATCCTCTATCTCAATCATATGCGTCCAGATAGCATCTATAACTTTTTTTGGAAGCGGATTTATAATATAGTCAGACGTACCTTTGAAGTAGATTGCTGGATTTGTCGAGTTAAGTAGAACAGTAGTTGGAGTTCCAACTGGGAAGTCAGCCCAAAACACAGTGGATTCCACCCAACTCATCTCGATGCAGTCACTTAGCTTTAACCCTAGTTCAGGGAATCTCGCCTTCACCAGTGCAAAAAGCTTGTCACTGTTGCCCAAATAATGAGCAATGAATGAGATTTCCACAGTCTTGCCCGTAGTTGTATTGGCGACTTTCGGTTGTGCTCTGAGGAACAGCTCTTTGGGCATCTTGGCTGCTATAATTTGCCATTTGTAAAATAGATCTGTAGCGCCTTGCGCTATGGTCCTCTTAACGTTGAACACCGTCACTTTGGCTGGAACTGGAACCAGCCTGAGCTTCCATTCAAGAGCAACTCCAAAGCTAGCAACACCACCTCCTCTGATGGCCCAAAAAAGGTCTTCTCCCATTGATTTTCTATTAAGAATTTTGCCATTCGCAGTGACTAGCTTAGCATCAACGATATTGTCAACGCTAAATCCATATTTCCTCATCAAAACCCCATACCCGCCACCACCAAAGTGGCCACCAGCGCCAACTGTTGGACAAAGCCCGGAAGGAAACCCATAAACGTTGGTTTTCTGAGAAATTTCGTAGTAAAGTCTTCCAAGAAGAGCTCCAGATTGAATCCAGACATTCTTTTTGGCAACATTGACTTTAATCGAATTCATTTGATACATGTCGATCATGACAAAGGGTACATCCGACACGTACGACAGACCCTCAAAATCATGGCCGCCACTTCGGGTTTTCACCAGCAATCCATGCTCCTTTGCACAGATAATAGTAGCTTGGATATGGGTTGCATTTCTGGCTGCTATTATGGCCAAAGGTTTTGGCATTTCAGGTGTACCATATCTGAGGTTATTGATACGTGCATGCAAAAGGGGTTTATAAAAGTTGTCTTGAGGGGTGTAAACGATTTTGGCAGCAGCAAAGTGTTTTGGAAGGCATTTGAGAAAGCTATTGATGCGAACTGGACGTGAAGTTGTGCATGATACTGAGAGTGAGAGTGACAGGATTGAGAGAATGACAAGAAGTACCGAAGAATTTGGGGACTTCATCGTTTGTTTCTGGGGTTGTAGGTTTAAAAGTTGGTGGTGTGATTGAATAACAGACTTAGGGCAGTATTTATAACGAACCCAAAGCACCAAATTTTGCATTTTTTTTCTTTTTTTCAACGAAGCAATGTAGCGTATGAAATTAAACTTGTGCATGGTTGTCAACTATGCATATGACCACGTCCACGCATTAACTTGTTTATTTCCATTAGCTTATTTTCAAAAACCGGATAGCACGGCGGCTAAGTGCGGATATTGTCGCCACATGATCCTCTCTATTTTTTAATGCCAACTTTGCTCCCGTGAGAACATTACATCCATAAAAGCACACCAATATAATTCAAACAAGCTCTGCCCGACTAAAAAAGGTCAGATTTGTTTTGGTCTATGGATAATGATAGATATCATATACCATTAGTGAGATACTTTACGGAAAATCTCAAAGACGTCAAAAACAAGTGGCAATATTCAGAAGCATCATATCATTCTAATTCATTGTTATATAAAAGAGCATGAGGGATTTTTTCAAGTATATCAGGAATTTTAAACGGTACTTCATATGTCATAATATAAGTGAAATAAATGGTATATTTTTACGTGTTTTTTTACTTATTTTATGATCCCGAGTACCCGCTTGAATACAGTTCACTTTAAAAGTTAAAAGAAATGTTGATTGAAAAAACTTCATCTCCAATCACACGATTTGAAGCCCACTCGAAGTTATTAAGAAAACTTTTAAGAGATTTTAAGTCTGCGGAGGAATAAAGAAACTCCTAATAACTCGTAACATTACCGACTAATTTTAATGTTGTTTTGAACATATACTTTTTTTGTTTTTATAATTTTTGTAGTCTTCATTTTACGTTTTGAGAATTTTACATTTGCCTATAATATATAATATCGAAATTGGAAGCAATAAAGAAATGGCGAGGAGAGAGATAAAAGGAGGTTTCATCAGCGAAATCATGATGGGTCGGGTCTTCATTTTAGGTTTTGATGGGTTGGGTCGATCATGATTAGGTATTTGAACAGAGAAAGAAATGGCGAGGAGAGAGATAAAGGGAGGTTTCATCTGCGGAAGAGTGCTCTCATGATGACAGATTGGTGTTGTTGGCCGTCAAATTGGTATTCTTTTCATTTCTTTCTTCAACATATCTTCAATTATGTACTCACATTCGACGATGTAAGGTATGTATTTGAGTTTGATAGTATGCATTTCGTTGACTCTTTGTCACCAGTGCTTATTTGCTTTTTGCTAAATACTTTGTCAACAAAGAAAGCACAACAGGAGAAATTTTACCAGAGATGCAAATCTACACAACTGCCAAATGTAAAACTGAGAGAAGGAGTTTGGGTTTTAGCAAAGGGATTATGATAAAAACCACACATGGTGGATTGACTAAATGGATTCACCTAAAAAATATAATAAGGATGTAAGATGAAAAGTTAAATCGTCTTTTTATGCTATCGTCCAAAAAAGATTTCTCAACAGTATATATATTGTTTTCATCATTTTTCTCCCAATGAGTTGCTCATATTTTTAAATCAAAATTGGTGGAATGTGTGTGACATAATTGATTTGTTGTTTTAGAACCGTAATTCATTTGGATATCATTTTCTTCTTTTGCAGAGAGTTGCACATCAACCACGCCAAATTACTTAAAGGATGCTTATACCACGATGTCTATCTTAAAAGATTCTTATTTCACTTTCTTCACACAAAATTACTAAAATTTTAGATGTACATATTGTGTGAATAAAACAAAAAAAAATTATGACAGGCACGAAAGATTGCTAAAAAAAGTGTAATGTTAATCTTTCACACAATTTCTTGCTAAATTGATAGCTACGCACAAAATAAAACAAAAACTTGTGGGACACTACCAACGTGCTTGGTTAAATAAAAAAAAAAAGACAAGTTCTACGCACAAGAGTAATCAAGTGAAATGATTAATGTAGATAAATACATTTAAGTCGCATGTAGCGTACCGTAATAAAAATAATAAAAAAAGCATTTTACATGCGCGGAAGCGTGTGTAGAAAGACTAGTGAATTTATAAGTAGGGGTCTAAATTTATTTTTTTAAAGAATAAATATGCCATTAAAATTTTAATTAAAACGTGGATGAGAAATTAAGACAATAAGATGAGTTTAGTAGCACTATTTATTTAATTTTTTTAAACAACCGATATTATCTACACTAAGGTGGAAGGAGTTAACTAATCTTAACTCCAATGTAATGGTGCCAACATTTTAACAGTAAGTGGTAACGTGTATGTGTTTAATTAAAGCTAGCTAATACACTATCTGAATATTAGATTTATTTAATGTGCTTCACTCCAATTTAATGGGGGAAGGGGTTGGCCAAGCTTAACTCCAATTTAATGGTGTCAACATTTTAACAGTAAGTGGTAACATGTAATAACAGAATGCTGATGTGGCTTTAGTCTATTGTTTCATGTGTCACAATGTAATTGGATTGTAATAAGATTAGGTTGTTATGAGTTAGTTAGCCGGCTGCCTTGTATTGTAAGCTAGTTAGTTAGAATCTCAAACACTATATGTAGTGATGTAGCCTCTCATTTTCTCATCAATGTGAATCTATTCAAAGCTATGCTTTCCCCTCTTTCTCTCTCTTCTCTCTCTCTCTTCGACTCCTTACATTCCTAAAGTTCTTCAACTTTTCTCATAATTTCTGCAACTCTGTAAAGCTTGATTGAGCAATGTTATGAACATGTATGTGTTTAATTAAAGCTAGCTAATACATTGTTTGAATATTGGATTTATTTAATGTGCTTCACTCTATATTTTTGAAGGAAGGAATGAATCGATGGGAACGTAATATTAAAATTTAAAAGGATATTGTTAGGGAGACTAAATTTTTAAACTAAATTTGCAAATTAAATGGTGTGTCACCAATAAAAAATAAGTACATTAATCAATACTTAAGTGATATTTCAATTATCAATAAACACATCATTTGGCTTACAAAATTCGGTTTAGAAATTAATTTTGCCTAGCATTATCCATATTATAATAGTGTGCCTAGCTAATTTCTAAAAGTTGACAAAATGTCTACACGTATATATACAAGAAAGAAGAAAATTAAGATAATTTCAGTGATACATTCGATTTAATTTGATGCAAACATTACCAATGCATTTGATTTGATCCTTCAAATTCCCGTCGAGACCAGTGGATACACATATTTCAATCATATTAATACTTCACAGAATAAGTATACTTATTTATTATTGTGCGTTGATTTCTCAACAATTTCTCTGCTCCCTAACAACTATCTATTAACCTATTAATGCTATAGTTTTACTTAATTTTTTTTTTTATAAACACGAAATTTCAATCCCCAAATTGAAAAGTACATTTTCTTCCATCTATGCAAGTAAAAAATAACTTGCTATGAGTATTTGCGTGTAAGAGGGCATGTTGAGGTTATAAATCTCAATTCAGAAAATTGAAGCCTAGCCTTATAATTTAAATAAGTATAAACCTCTTCCTTCTGTTACCCATTAATATTAAGATAGACGCTCACGTTCTAGATAGTAAAACACAATCCTTTGATGACGATGTGCGGTTTGAAAAACATTATGATTTGATTCAAGATATTTTGATCTGGATACAGTGGCGGAGTTAATATGGAATTATTGATTATCCTTGACCTCAACTACTTCAAAAACTCCACATATATTTGTTTGTGTATAGTATTTGACCCTTATAAACAGTTAAGGCAAATTAAATTACTACATCTACATCCCTCTCCTACTTCTTTTATTTTCTTTTATCATATTTGTCTCCCATTTAACACTTCTTGAGTGCGATTCTATTGTGAGCACTGTGTGCTCAATGAAATACCTTAGTTGACATGTCTTGACAATTTTCAGCATTACTCCATAGTATCATGCATCAACCCTCAACAAGCCTTTACAAATAAGAGTAGTTGTTGACATATGTTGATATAAGTGATGACTCGATATTATACTATATATTTTACCCTAATCTTAGCATTAATTTGTTAGTTAGTTTAGTAGAATTTTGATATTTTGTTATGTATTTTCAATGTAGGACATTCGACTTCCTCTGGAGCAAAAAGTGATCAAACGGATGAATTTTGGAGTGATCCCAATTGGAGGATGTTCGTGAGTTTTTCAAGATGATTGTATCAAAGTTTAAGATTTTTCTACCAAGCCGTTTGACCGTGGTAATGAAATAAAGGCCCAGCGCGCAGATATTTTAGATTGACGTTTCTTGACGTTTTGGGTATTTTGGAGGTCAAGATGGTATATTTTGAGGAAGTTTCCTTCTGAGGATTTGTAGGGGACGTCTCCAGCTTTCAAAAGAGACCTTTTGGGACCAAATCGAAGTTCATTTGGTCGGTCAAAAGTCTAATTTTCTGATAAGTCTGAATTTTAATTAGTTCAAATAGGAAACCTTTTATTTTCTGTTTTATTATTTTATTATGTTTCCTAGTTTTATTCTAAGACGTTTTAGGGTTTTATTTTGTAGTAATATAAATAAGACTTTTTAGCCATTAGGGTGAGAAGTGAGAATGCAAGAAATAGGGGGAGAACACATGCACTACTTTAGGGAGCTTTGGAAGTTTATTTTCAAGGTGTTTTCTTTCCATGTTCTTAATAATATTTTGTTTTATGATTGTTCATAACTAAGTTCTTTTGCTAGGGCGAAGCCACGAGCCTTAGCATGAATATGTGATTTTATTAATTTGCTTATGAATGGATGCATGCTTGCTTTGAATTATTAATTACCGCGATTAAAACTATCTAAATGTCTTAGTGATTTGCGACCATTAGGGTTTTTAGACAAGTAATTTGATGCAATTTCTGTTGGAACATTACCCTGAAATTGAGGAGGGCTTCTTGTGATTAGTAATTGTAAGTTCACTTAAGGTGAACATCACGCTCTTAAGGGTTGTATGGTTTTTCAAAGGGTTTTCACAAAGCTTAATGAGTCTTGCATGTTTATATTTG